TCCAATCAGACTTAAGTATTGGACCTGTTCAACTGGGTCAAACCCTACCAAAAAAAACAAAAAATTGGCCCAAAGTTAGAATATAGTCTAATTATAATCTAATTAGAACTCTATAATAATAAACTATTAATTAACAATAATTATATTTAACAGTTCGTTTCTCGTAAGTTAATTTTTATTCTTTCCCGATTTCAGTTAGGTATTCATAATTTATTTCCCCCCAATAACTAAAAGAGTATTAGATAAAGTTGAACCCTAATTCCAAACAATCCAATTCGTGAATTCGATTTTTTCACCCTAATTTCAATCCAATCTGCAATTTGCGAATTCGATTTGTATGATTTTGTTGTTTGAATATTTCACGGTATTTGAAATTTTTTGGCTGACTACAAATGAAGGTTCCAATTCGCTGGATTCGATTTCTTCACCCTAATTTCAATCCAATCTGCAATTTGCGGATTCGATATGTTCATGATTTTTTTTGTTTGAATATTTCACAATATTTGAATTTTTTTGGTTGACTACAAATGAAGGTCACCGCTCCTATTTATACTAAGTCACCCTCACCCTTTGAAACTTTTTGGTTGATTACAAATGAAGGTCACCCATGGACGTTACCCATGGATGTTGATGATAAATTCAATGGCTATGAGTTGTTCACTAGAACACTCCAAATGTCAATAAATGAAACATTCTAAAGTGGTGTTCGCAAAAGTTTATGTAAAAGCAAAAGTTAGTGATTGTGATTTAAGTTGAAATTTAGTGTTTATTTCAAAAAATTGGGGGTGTTTGCAAATTAGTTGAAAAATCAACTAAAATAGAAAAAAAAAGTTACATGACGGCTTTTAAAATTATATCTTAAAGTAGCTTAATTTAAGAAAAGCAAAAGCAAAAGTTTATTTTGCAAAGACCTGAAAACGAATTATACGCAGAAAAGAGCTCGTAATCTATTTCTATAAGTTTTTTGCAAACACCGCCTAAATCTTTTCTAATAATCTCGAAAAAATCTCTACCAAATTTATTTACACAGGCTAAATATTAGGGCTTGTTCAATTGGGCCTAATTCTAAAAAAAATAGACCGAAATCTAGAATATATTCTAATGACAATTCAACTACAACTCTTGTAATAATAAAACTCTTATTAATCATATATTAACACTAAATTAATTCGTTTCTCATAAGTTTTTTCTTTCCTTTCAGTTAGTTATTCTCAATTCCCCCAAAGTTAAACAATCCCAATTTTTATGAGCAATGTTGTTTTCTAATTTTCGATATATATTTTTCAAGTTAGAGCCCATTTTGTGTTATGGGCCAAGAGGTAGTTTGGACCACATTTAAACAACTTTGGATCCAAATCGGGGAAGAAACACGTGTGTTATGGGCCAAGAGGTAGTTTGGACCACATCTAAATAACTTCGGATCCAAATCGGGGAAGAAACACGTAGGATGAGGGCTCCATTACAAAACCCCGCTCGATCTCTATATAAACTATGTAAATCGTCAGTGAAATCAATATGTTCTGGGAAAATGTCGAAGTAATTTATAATTGATCAGAAGATGAACCCTAATTCCAATCCAATTTGAGGATTCAATTTCCTCATGGTTTTATGAGTATTTGATTTTGTTTTTTGAATATTTCACAATATTTGAAATTTTTTGGTTGACTATAAATGAACGTCGCCGCTTCTATTTATACTAAGTCACCCTCACCCATGGATGTTGATGATGAATTCAATGGCTATGAGCTGTTCACTAGAACACTCCAAATAATTCTTACAAAATATCAATAAATGAAACATTCTAAAGTGATGTTCGTAAAAGCTTATCTAAAAGCAGAAGTTAGCGATTGTTATTTAAGTTGGAATTTGGTGCTTATTTCAAAGGATTTATTAGGGATAACCCCTTGTTCATATTTTCTAATGAGGTAGATCCAATTAATTTTTCCCTTTTTGAGATACACCCAAATTTGCCAACTTGGCAAAATATATTATATAATTTCCCTTTAATACCCCTGTTTTATTTTTTAGCGGCATTTATTTCCTTAACTACGTGATATGAGATTGCTGATATGTTGCCTAAAATCACGGAATAAAATTACGTGAGTATATTGGCGGTTTCTATCAAATCTTGTACAATCGGTTTTGAAGAATTCTCCAGCGTTCATCGTTTCCATCGGATTTGAAGATTTTTCACCGGCGTGGAAATAGTTTCCGATTTGAGCGTTCATTGTTGTCCGTCGTTAAGCGGGTATGAATGTGTTTTTTTTCGTTTTTTTTTTCGTTTTTAATTTCGATGTATTTTTTCGTTTTTATTTTCGCTGTATTCATTTTTAAGATTTGTGTTGATACTTGATTCTATTAAGTAGAACGTTTTTTAACAAAATTACGTCGTCACATATACATCGTTATTTTGGCTGATGATGTTTGCTTGAAAGAGGATTCACAGAGTTAGAAGAGGATGGTTCACGCAGTCGGACCAGAGTTGTTTTATATGAGTGTCGTAGTTGGTTTATGGAATAATCGAAATAAATGTCTGGTGTGGTCGAGTTCATGAGTTTGATCCCGATTGATAGTTGGTTTATTTGTTTACAACAGTCGATTTTAGGAACCTCGGTAGTACATTAAAATATATTCCGTAGTCTTTTTCAATTGAGTGTATGGATTATGCATTTT